GGGGGGGGGGGGGAGTGCAGGCGAGCGGAAGGCGCTTCGCGCCAACGAGTAACCTTTGCGCTCCGCAGGCGGCAACTTTCTTTCATTAAATTAAATTTGATCGAGGAGCGGCGCGTCTGCCTGCGCGAAACAAAAGGGGCCTCCGGCGTAGCCAAGGAGCAACGTAATATCTACGCCCGTCTCAACGTGTGTTATCAAGCGGCTATATTAAATTCCGCGTTAAGTACGACTTCGAATTTCGTCCTCACGGTTTATCGGTTAACAATATCGGCGGCGTTTCGGTATGAAAAGTAGAAATTACATTTTTGCATAACAAAACTTATAGAGGATTAAAATCGGAAATTTCTCAATAAGCATATTTACAATTTCATTTATGTTATTTTTGTTAATGGTTGTAATACTGTTAGTAACGAGAGAACGTATTTAGTATCCAGGAATTGTGTTTATGATTTGTGTATATTTATTTACAAGTTGTTCCTTTGTGTACTTTGGTAATCTTATCAATTCGTCAAGACATATCAAACGTATTATCAAAATCTCTGTATGATCTAGTTATATGTTCATAAAATGCTAACCAAAAAAATTTCTTCAATTTATAATAACTTTCTTTACAATATAGTAAATAAACGCATTTTAGGTGATATATGACCACTAAAACTCATGTGTTAGAAAATAGTAACTACTCACAAAATTAATGCCACATGAAATATCATTATAATTTTCAATAAATAGTCTCTTAAGCGCAATCCTAGCTCCAGAGCAGAAATAAGAGATAACAACATTACGATACAAAATTGGTTGACTAGTTCTATGCTTTTGGTATAGGAAGGAGTCGAGAAAAACTTTCAATCTACGTTACGAGAAAGCACGGGTGGAAAGTTCTGAGGGACGACACAGTGCGGATGTAAGCTGTTCCCTTCCGATGTTTCCATCCCAGAATTGAAGAACTAGACGTGCAAGTTGCTACCCTGACGGCGAGTCTCCGACAGCAATATCCAGTTTTGAGAACAAAAGACTTTTCTAGCTCGTAAACCTTATACTGAAAATATGCTGAGGACGTGGTATTATTTTCTGGTGGTTCTCTTTGTTTATGCGAAAGTATCCTTCGTAAAAACTTACTTTCTGATATGATTTTCTTTGTGGTCTTTTTTGCCATAACTGATGTTTGATGAGAAAACAATCTTATAAATTGAATTCATCATGAGTGTTGACATTTCAATATCAACAATAAAAAACATATGGACGCGAAAACAAAGCTAATGTGAAAAAAGCTCTAAATGATGTACAACAGAGGTGAGAATTCAGAACAATACAATTATAAATTAGCTATTAGGTTAATATGGAACGACTACCGCATTCAACGACACTACATCTGAAAATCAATAATTAGTCTTCCCAGACTGATTGAGCGATGTTCGCAACAGATTAATTACCTGAAATTTAGCCGTAAATAAAATTGCTGGTTTCGGTTGTTTTCTACGTATATTTTAGACAAACCAATGGTTACTATTACAATTTAAAGCGATTCTGCGGAACCCATTACTCTGACGTGTCGCATAAAGAAAGTGTATTTCCTCCAATGTCGAACAGAAGGTGAAGAATGAATTATGGTGAAAAAACAGTAACGACTGGTGAAAATTCTTCATTAACTTTTAGCATTTTGAACACCCGAAAACCGATAAAACAATTGTATTAGCCACGTCACAAAAAGAGACCTGTCAGACCTTTGTAATTTCCCTTTGCATGAGCCGTATTTCTTGCCACTTATCGGGAGACAGTGTCGAGAGTGATGAGTGAACATTGGCCAATTTACAGTGTCGTTAGTGCCGGGTAGTAAACAAGAGCCATGAATGTCAGATGACCACGTCGTCTGGTAATTGGCAAAGCAACACTGCTCGGTAACAAAGCAACATAGCTCGCGCAAGTTTTGTAGATGCACGAGCTCCCAAATCTTTGGCCAGCTCTGAATCCCACGGCCCGTTGAGATACTTAAGTCCGATTTTCAATGCTGCCAACATTCACCTCTTACCTTCAAAATAGAGAGTTTCTCCGCGCCTTTGCTGGCAGCAATCGACTGCAATCTCGATCATCGGCGCGTGCTCCCTAATACGTTCCTCATGCGTCAGGCTTTGACGCGTTACGTTCGTACCAATAGTTGGTTCGTCGTTTTAAGCGGTTGCAAAGACCTCCTCTCACTGCAATGCACTATCGAGAAAACTTGCGCGACCGAAGAAGCTACTGGAGGGAGAGGGGAGCTGGAGGCCTACCTGTATGGCGTACCGCTGGTGCGCCTTGAGGTGGGAGCTCTTGTGTAGCTTCTGGCAAGCCGGTGTACTGAACACTTGTGGTATCCGGCGCTTGGGCGTCGGGCGAGTGGTTCCGGTGGCGCGCGTGGTGGGCGAGTGCCCGCCCCGCCTTCCGCCCCCCGCCGCGCGCCGCCGCCGCCGCTGGGGCGACCCAGGGGAAGCCGTGTTGGTAGCGCGAGCCCAAGGGCGAAAAAGTTGCTGGGCTGCCGCGGCGGCGGCCGCCGCCGCCCACGCCCGCCGACGCGCCGCCACCGCGGTGGAGGCGGCGGCCGGCGGCGGAGCCGGGCCGCCGCCGCGGGCAGCCCGCCGCCGCCGCCGCCAGCGCAACGCCGCCTCCAGGGCGGAGGCGGCGAGGTGCAGAGGTGGGAGGGGAGAGGTTCGAGAGGCGGAGGGGCGCCGCCCTCGCGACGCGCCGCCCCCGCTGCCCGCCGGCTGCCGCCGACGACGCACCCGCAGCAGCCCCTGCCGGCAGCGCGCGCCCGGCTCTGCTGCAGCACGCCCGCGCCAAGACGCCACTTAGACCTCTGCACTGCACGCGGCCACGCGCACCGCCTCCCCGAAGTAGGTGTACTGGCGTTTTCGCTCTGAAAGAACTTGCATTTCCATTGCTTTACTTCGGGACAAATACTAACGGGATGTTAAAATGAACTAATTTACAGTCCAGATGCACATGGAGTTTCTTTAATTTACATGTTATCAGCGAGAAGATTTTGGGGAAAATTTGTAATTTTGGAGAGAATAAAATAATGTCATGTATTCGTATTGTCACTATTATGAGAATTCGCGGTATGATAGCAAGTCCTTGAGTTATCTCATCAAATATCTCATTCGTTAGATTTGTATGATCCCTGTTTTTGACGTTTATTGGAAAATGTATACTAAAAGTGGTTAGAAATATATTTAAAAAATGTATATGATCACCTACTTTGAGGAGGTAACGGTTGAAGCAGCCATTTGCACTGAAATTCTGACCGTGCAGGTAATTAAGTGCACATTAACTAACATTCTTAAAATTTTTACATTTGAAATGATATTGTACATTAGTTTTCTGTAGACCATTGATCTGAGAGAATAATGCATGGAGCCATTATCTTCTCATATCAGTGGAGTGGATGAAGGAGACTGGTAGCTCAGATGAAGGGCACAGCGACCGTTTTGATTATCAAGGGATAGTGATTATATCGGCAGAGGAAAACAGATACCAGGTAAGGGAGTCTAGTGGCTTTTATAAACACTGCGGCTGGTGGCCGTGATAGTGGTGGTGATAAGTGGAAAGTCTCGCCTGGAATGGTGATGGTGAGGGAAGAAGTGATGAAGATGGACTGTTATGGGAATAGTGATGAAGAGGGTGGAGGGGATGATGGTGGTCATGAGACGAACATCCTGCTTGGAGAGGTGAGGGCGTTGAGACGAAGGCCGCTTATGGTGGTGGTGGTGGAGGGAATAAGGGAGGTGATGATGAATTTGGTGACGAGGAAGGAGATTAAGACATTGCTGATGAGGGTGGAGATAAGACGACGGCCATACCTGATGGTGGTGATAGTAATGATAGTGTAGGGGATGAAAATGGAGGTGAAGAGAACGGTGATGAGACGAAGGGAATACATGACAGTGGTGGTGGTGGTGTTGGTGGTAGTGATAAGGGTGGATGTGATGAGAGTGATGATGATTGAGATGGTAATGCCGGTGGTGATGATGAAAGTGATAAGACGAAAGTCCATCCTGAGAGGTGATGGTGATTAAGGTGGGGTAAATAAAACGAATATCGAACCTGGTGGTGGGGGTTCGACGGTGGAGGTGATGAAGATGTAGGTAATGAGGATGGTAATATGATGAAGGTTATGCTTGGCTAGGTGGAGGTGATGAGGATGGTGGGAAACGAAGGCCGTATCCGATCAGGGTGAGGGGGTGATGAGAGAGGTGGTGAGTCGAACGCCGTACCTGGTGGTGGTGGTGATGCGGGTGGTGGTGCAGGCCCTGCGCGCTGAGCGTTGCCGCCGCCAGCGCGTCGCTGGCCGAGGAGCTACTGCTACTGCTGCTGTTGCTGTGGCCGGGGCCCGACTCGGGACTCGAAGGCGGCGTCAGCGTCGGCAGCAGGCCCTTCCCGCCGCCCCCGCCGCCGCCGCCACCGCCGCCTCCGTCGCCGCCCCCGCGGCCGTTCGAGGTGCGCGCCACTAGCCGAAGCTCCAGGGGGTTGCCGCCCAGCAGCTGGCTCGTCGCCACCTGCCACCACGACCGTATTCACATATACTACATGAATATTTGGAGCAACTAGGTGAGTGTTCAGAGTTTCCTAGCCTGCCTACTACTTTGGCCATTAAAGTACATCTACAAAAACAGTGTTTCTTGATAGATAACGGACGACAGAGCCTTCATCGCCTAGGAAAAACTCTGTGATAACAAGCAAGTGCTTATACATCACATCATCTGTTGTCAGATGCCTGTCAGGAAACAGTGTCCGTGAAATATCATCTCAAGCCGCGTAAGTGTTACTTATACATAGTGATAAAACGATACGTGACCTGATGAAACGTGACATCGGACTACGATCTACACGTCAGCTTGCCATGGTTTTCCCTTTCAGATGTCTCCCCCTGAGAACCACCACCAGAGTCGGGGCATGCTTTCAGTTCTCGTCTGATTTCACGAGATGCGCGGTAGAGTGTGCACGAGTATGAAGTGTGAACGAGTGAGTGTAAGACGAGAGGGAGGGGGAAAGGATGAGAAAAAAAAGAACATGCATTTTCCATAGGGTGGCATAAGTGCTGTAAGACCATTAGGGGAGAGTACCAGCATATTAGAAAGGATTAGAGGGATGTATGTTTCGTTTGTAACAAGCTTAAACGTTTCGGCCTAGCCATATAGTACAGGTAATATATGGCTTTCTTTGATGCTGCTCTTATTTCGAATGCTAACAAGAAATGTTTAAAACTAGATTATTTAATTTATTTGTAAAATTTCATTACTAAAGTAAAATTACCTTTATTTTGACCCCTTGTCGAGTTTTGCGAGACATTTGAACAAAGGAATACACAACGTACCCTTAAAAGTCGTACACTCGGCCTGCTGTGGGCACGCGTAATAAACGATCGAGAGAGAGAGAGAGAGAGTGAGAGTGAGAGAGTGAGAGTGAGAGAGTGAGAGTGAGAGTGAGAGTGAGAGTGAGAGTGAGAGAGTGAGAGAGTGAGAGTGAGAGTGAGAGAGTGAGAGAGTGTGAGAGTGTGAGAGAGTGAATGAGAGAGAGAGAGAGAGACAAGCGAGCCGCGCACCTCGTACTCCTCGTCGTCCTCGTCGACGTCGTCGTCGTCGAGACGCTCCTTCTTGACGACGACGGCGCAGCTGAGCGCCGAGTCCCAGGAGGCGCCGCTGCACGCCGACGACGCCGAGCTCAGGCTGACGCTGTCCAGCGGCTGCTCCCCGAGGTCCAGCTCGTCCAGCGTCAGCGGGTCCACCATCTCCATCTTGGAGGGCCACGAGGACGGCGCCGTGGGCCCGCCCAGCAGGTTCCACGGCGACTCCAGCTCCGACGGCAGCTTCTTGTACGACTGGAGCTTGGGCTCGTCCTTCAGGTAGCGCTCCATCTCGTAGCACGTCTGCGCAGGAGAGGAAATATTCACATAATAAGAAAAGTCACACCGATGTGGGGGAGGGACTATTGAACAAATTCCTACATCGCATAAACTACAATGTACTGAACTAAGAACATAGAAATAACAAAGATAATATAATAACTACAATAATAAACGTCATAATTATAAATTCTTTTATTTGGATAGCACACCTTTACGTCAAAAAGGTTTTACCTATATTGAGGATGTATTTTTGTATAATTCTGCAGAGTAGTATAAAGAGTAACAAAAACAATACCACAGTTGAATACAGTATACCAACCTGTTTTTTATTGGTAATTATTACTGCGTGCAACATGAAATCAATCCAAATCAATCCGCCGCATTATAAAACATACAGGACTGAATGATAATATAATATTGGAAACTAATTATATTTTATGTTCTCTAGTTTTCTTTTTATGTTGCACGTATTTTGCAGGACAACAAAAAATATTCAAACTCGATTTTATTTAATTTATTTGTAAGATATCAATGTTAAAGTAATATTGCATTTATATCGATCCATTGAGTTTTGCGAGACATTTTATCAAAAGGAATGCACAACGTTTCCTTAAAGTCACACACGGTCTAATGCACATATCCCAATACGTTCTACATCTATGCATTATTTCGTTGGTATATCACCTCCCAAAAACACATAGTTTCTTTACTTCGCAGCGCCACGGCATTTATATCTCGAACTCCGAACGAGTCTCGCTGTTGTTAAACTCGAGATGCGATATAAAAATAAATGTTCCACGAGCCGGATAACAAGTACGCCAATAAGGAACCGAATCCTTTTGCCGGGAGGATACACTCTCAAATCCGCTTTTTACGTTCCAGTTGTGATCCAAAAGGAGGCTTCCGAAGGTGGCTGGGAAGGAAACCAATTGGAAGGCGGGGACGACGGTGGCGGTGGCGGCAGGCACCAGAGACAGAAGACGCACCAGAGGCGCATTTTCCGCTTCACTAAATTGTCCGCAGCACATCTGCGCTCACGCCGCGCTGAGCCCGACAGATCCACAGAGGGGCTCCAAGCAGACCGTTTAATTCGACGGCACGGAAGGAAGGAAATTGCAAATAGAAATAACCCATTCTCTTTGCTTTCAAACAAGTGCCTAGAATGCGAAGAAATGTTTAATGTGCATACTTTTTCATATAAAATATATATAGCAGTCGTATTTTATAATTTAAATAATTTTGATTTTTTTTTACAAGTCGTAGACGTGTACTACCACACCTATGTTATTAGACACATCAATATTTGAAGTTTCAGAAAAAAAATAACTGTTCGGTTTTTTACTTTCCGGACTTGCTTCGTAATGCTTCAAATCGGGGATTTATGTGGTGAGCGGGGACGGGGGCTACTTAGTGGGTGGTGAATGGGATGGGCATAAGAGAGCTGAAGGAAGTGAAGATGGAATTAGTAGTTGTGAGAGGGATGCGGGTGATGCAGAGGGTGGGGTGGGATTGAGGAAAGGCATGGGGTAGGGGTGGTGTAGTGAAGGGAATGGGGATGGGGGTTAAGAGTTGTGTAGAGAATGGGATGAGGATCGGTGCAGGAAACGCGGTGAGGTTGCTGCAGGGAGGTGAAGGTGGTTGTAGTGCAGGAGGGCGGAGTGAGCGTGGTGGAGAGGTTCGGGTGTGGTTAAGACTTGGGGGTGCTGGGATAGGGGCGAGGGTGGAGGGTGATGGCCCGCGGCGATAGTCCACGGGGCACTTGTTCGAAACGTTTCGAGGCGCTAACAGAGGCGCTATTTCAACGCAGAGTGGAGCAGAGAGTGGCCACAAACAGAGTCAGATGTAGAAATGGGTGACTAAATGACGGAAGGAGTTAGTAATGATGTAAAAGGGGATCAGAGTGAATAATTGAGTAGAATGGAGATGGAAATTTTTTTAAAGACGTCTGCATAAGAACCCATTTATATGCATTATCTATATGAACATTTACGAAGGTGAAATGTACGTACGAATGAGTAATGTGGCTTCTGGAGCTCCATAGGCCTCATGGCATAGCCGCGATTTCTTGAAAACTCGGGAATCGCTCATCAAAGAGAAGCAAGTAAACAGAGTCTAAGAGAGCCAGCGCACGGAACCAAATACGGTAATGGAAAAGACCCTATTTACATTTAAAGAAACTGAAAACAAATTAATTTTTACGTTTATTTTATTAAATAAAGTTTCTTTATAATTCAAAGGTGTGACTCGCGCTAGAAAGAAGGTGGGAATGGAAGATTGGTGTAATGAGACGGAGCAGCAGATAGTGGGGGAAAGCGTGGAGATTATGGCGAAACAGGAAGGGCCGGGAGGGAAGGGCGTAGAGGAGGGTGGAAGGGGAAGGTTGGAAGAGAGAAAGCGATGAGGTTCGAGGGCCTCGCGAAGACGGCGGGACGAAGAATGAGAGGCATCGGGGAGGGGGGACGAAGGGGGTGGGCGGGTATGGGGCGGCGGGGCGAAGTGGGGTGGGGGAATTGAGGAGCGGGCGTTCGCGGGGGCGTCGATCGTCAAGCGCCGCCCGCGGCGTCTAATTGTTTACGTGCCGACCGGCGCTTCGCAGCTGCGCTGTTTGCATCTTAGCGCAACGCGGGGGGCGTCCAACCCCCGCAGCAGAAATAGAGGCGCTCATTGCAAACAATACAGGCATTCATTCCCTTAATTCAAATTATTACTTGCAATGTGCGGCAGATTAGTGTCTTTCGATAGACGCTCGGCGAAACATTTAGGTTTAAGGTATAAAAATTAATTTAAAAAGAATGATCGACAGTCTATATTTATTTGTAATTGATAAAATGTATATTTATAAGTGAAATAACAGTCGTCAGAATAAATATTTTGCCGAATATTACTTGTAATTTTAATTACATGTATAAAAAATGTCGACCGATATTACATGAAGTTAACAAAATAAAACATTCAATGCGAAATACTTCCATGTATTCCCAACGATAAGCTCAAAATGGTACGTTTTCGCAAGAAATGGAAGTGTCTATAGTTGCAGAGAACTGATGTCAAACGCTTTTCTCAAGAGCTGGAAAAGTGTTGGTATTCACACATCGTCCCTATTAGCACACACCCTTGGATCTTCCCTGCTGCAGCAGAGCAATAGCGAGTCGCACGGCGGGGTGCGTCGCGGCGCTACCTCGGAGAGAGCAGCGAGATGAAACTAAACGCTCCGCGCGCGCGTCCCTGGGGAACGCCTCAAGAGCGCCGCGCGGGCTGGCGGGCGGGCGGGCAACAGGCACCTGCTGAAGAGCGAGGGCGAGAGAGCGAGGACGGAGCACGAGTGCTTATAGCTCGGAGCCCTCCAGGCACAGGCTCTCGCCGAGGACGGAGACGAGGACGAACAACAATGGCTGCGAGGGCGGGAGCGGCCGCTTCGGAACCATAAACACTTGACGCGCAGCAAGCCCGCGGCGCTGTTGCTGCCGCTGCCGCCGCCTCCGCCGCCGCGCCACTCTCTCTTCCTCCGCTCTCCGATCTCCCGCCTTTGTTCTGACCACTTCCGGCTACCGCGTTTCCGCCCCTTCGCTGTCCTCACCGCCGCCGCCGCCTTTCCTACGCGCCAACCAGTTACCCAGCCAGCCTCCGCCAGACCCATCCTCCATCCGCTGATTGGGTTCGACAACTCTTCAAATAAAATATGATTTCGACGCTTTCAAGCCAACCCTTAAAACGTCAGACCGCAAAACTTAATACATCCTGCGGGAAACGTGTCTGCCACGGCGAGAGAAAGTCCCCCCTAAAGTGAAGGGAAATTGGTGAGGGGATGAAAGGGAAGGAAAAATTATTAACTCGACAAAAACATTTTCTTCCCGCGCTCTCACAACGCGAAATAATTTTCCGTTTCGGAGCGCTCGTTCGACGCTCCGAAACGAAGTGCGGGGGGAGGGGGGCGGACTGGGGAAGGGGGAGGCGACCAACGTACTCGACGGTGTCGCCGCGTGCGGGGAAAAGCAGCGCCGAAAAACAGCGAATTATTACACTTAGTCAGAAAAAAGAAAAAAAGACAGACGCATCTCGGATGGCGGTGCTCCAATGTGTTTCTTAATCTTCCTCGAGAGCAACATCAAACGTTAATACAGGTAGGCGACTCCATTTTCCGGCTCCCTCTTCTAGAAACAGGTGTATTAATACCGAAGCGGAGGCGGAGCTGGGAATAACAAACAATTTCCGGTGGTTGACAAATGGAGGAGGGAATTGCTGCGGCTGTTGAGCCTCGCGGCGGTGAGGGAACCAACGGCGGGAGATGGCGGAGGAGACGAAGGCTACGGCGCTTGCGGCCGACGAAATAGAGGGGGGAATGGGACTCGCAAGTGGGATTGGAAAGGACAGTGTGATATGAGAAAGAGTGTGACGGAATGTGGTAAACGGACGGATGAATGAGGAGGATGGCGCGCGGAGCAAGGTTCAAGACGTAAGGTTCGTATGGCATGGAATGAGTCGGTAAACAGGCAGTGAATAAAAGATGGTGGCAAAGGAAAGTGGATTGATGATTTGCAAGTGATCGGTGGTTGATCGAAGTTGAATACTCGTTGGTGGATGGCAAATGAGTAATTGATGAGTAAATGATGATCAGTAAAAGATAGGCAGTTAATGAAGAGAAAGAGTGATTGGCATTCAATGGGTAGCTCGGTGTTCTCTGTGAGCAACTGGGTGATGTGGTTGAGTTGTTATGTGTTGGTGATGGAAGACCGTAGGCGGTCGGGGGATGTAGGGCCATGGAAGACGGCAAAACGGAGGAGACCCAAGTGGGCGGGGGTGGGCGGCGGACGTCCTCGGCGACAAAGTGCCGCTCCGGGCGAGGAAGCGAGGAGCCTCTTTCATCCAGAGCGACGACGGCGACGGCGGCGCACGGGTCTCGCTCTGCTGGAGATCGTCTGGAATGTTTTTCCTTTTTCGCCGCTGTAATTACATAATAAGCCGCCATATCGAATTAGCCGGCGCCGGCGCGAGGTAGTAGGAAGGAGTCGCGAGCGGAGTGCAGACGACGGCGGAAGGCGCGGGAAGGGGATGGGGAAGAATTCGGAAGAAGATGGACGACTCCATTGGGGAAGGTTCGGGACCACGAACGAAGGAGAATGCTGAGGGGGAACGTAGAGTGAAGATTCCGATGACAGAAAGTACGAGGTGATCGATTTTGAGCTACACAAGTTATACATTGTCAGGGGCGGATGGTTGTAAGAAGGTTGGGCGGTGTTGCTAATTCTGATTCAATATGGTAGCAATACATTTCGATAAGATTGACAAGAAAGGAGATCGGTAGGTTGTGTAGACGACGTGCAATGTGGAGGGTTAATATTTCATTTGCAATGGTTTGCCCGATTGCAAACTACATGTACACAATCTACGTAAGCAGCAAAAGCAAGTGAAGTGTCGAAAGCATTGAGGGTAGAGCACCTGTCACGAAAGGTCAGAGAGGAGCGGAGCGCGAGGAGGAGAAAGAGGAGAGAAACTGTCTAGCTAAAGCGCCGACGCAGCCGTCGTCAGCGCCCTCGAGGAGAGAAGGGGCCACGGCGAAGACGCCGAAAGAGAGGAAGAAAGAGTGTCGAGTTGTTCCTTCAGGCTTCCAGACGGAGGCGAAGGCGGGCGGAGGCGGCGGCGGTGGCGGCGCCGGCACCTCCGTTTGGTAACTTAATTATTCGGCAGAAAGAGAAACTCGGCGCGACTCCATTGCCCCGTCCTCGCACCTTCTCCCTTCGACCTCCGCGCCTCGCCGCCCCGCGCGTCCTCGCGTCAGCCGCGCCCCGCCCATGCGAATCCCCGCCCCGCCCCACCCCTTCCCGCGGAGTCCTCGCGGAACTTTCAGCAGGCGGAAATCCCATTTGGAGCCGGTGCAAGAGGCCTTCGCGCCCATGTGAGGGTGCAGCCGTGCCGTGACAGTGGTGGCGGCGCGGCGGTGGCAATGGCAGTGCCAGGGTGAGGGAGTCAGCGGGTGATGGTTTCTAGCGGCAGCAATAGTGTCGATGGCAGCACTGGCTACGGAAACATC